AAGAGAGAATGTAAGAATTATAGGGAGGATAAGCCTACTGAGTATACCAGGTAAAGTTTATAGCAGAATTATGATTGAAAGGGGTAGAGGTAAGACAGAAAATAGGATTCCTGAGGGGCAGGGAGGGTTTAGGAATCATAGGAGATGTGTAGACCATATAATATAAATGAGCAGTATTTAGATAAAGGTAAAGAGCTGTTTGATGCATTTATGGATTTACAAAAGGTATATGATAGGGCTATATAAGGTATATAAGGTACATGATGGATTTATGAATGATGAGGTTAATCATAGAACTGATGAAGGAAAAAAGGTGAGTGGTGCATTGAGGTATATATGGAGACAAAAAAACGTTACCTATGGAGGCAAAGAAGGGAATGTATAAAAGTATAGTAGTACCAACACTATTATATGGGTGTGAAGCTTGGCTTGTAAATACTGCAGCGGGGAGGCGGTTGGAGGCAGTGGAGATATCTTGTCTAAGGGTAATGTGTGGTGTGAATATTATGCAGAAAATTCGGAGTGTGGAAATTAGGAGAAGGTGTGGAGTTAATAAAAGTATTAGTCAGAGGGCTGAAGAGGGGTTGATGAGGTGGTTTGGTCATTTCGAGAGAATGGATCAAAGTAGAATGACATGGAGAGCATACAAATCTATAGGGGAAGGAAGGCGGGGTAGGGGTCGTCCTCAGAAAGGTTGGGGGGGGGGGGGTAAAGGAGGTTTTGTGGGCAAGGGGCTTGGACTTCCAGCAAGCGTGTGTGAGCGTGTTAGATAGAAGTGAATGGAGATGAATGGTATTTGGGACCTGACGAGCTGTTGGAGTGTGAGCAGGGTAATATTATGTGAAGGGATTCAGGGAAACTGGTTATTTTTATAGTCGGACTTGAGTCTTGGAAATGGGAAGTACAATGCCTGCACTTTAAAGGAGGGTTTTGGGATATTGGCAGTTTGGAGGGATATGTTGTGTATCTTTATACATATATGCTTCTAATTATGTGTGAGTGAGTGATAATGTGTGAGTGAGGTGAAAGTGTTGAATGATGATGAAAGTATTTTCTTTTTGGGGATTTTCTTTTTTGGGTCACCCTGCCTCGATGGGAGACGGCCGACTTGTTAAAAAAAAAAAAAAATATGATAGGGTGGATGGGAGAGCCATGTGGCAGATGCTGCCAATGTATGGAATAATAGATAAGTTGCTAAAGGCAGTTAAGAGTTTTTATGCAGAGAGTGCAACTCAGGTTAGAGTTATGTAGCAGGTATGGGGGACTAGTTTTCCATTGAAAGTAGGACTTAGACAGGCATACATGATGTCATCATGGAAGTTTAACATATTAAAAAATTGAGTTGTAGAAGTGAATGCCAGGGTGTTGGGAAGGGATGCAGAATTAAAAGATACTGGATCTGAGACAAAGTGAGAGTTGTCACAGTTACTTTTTTGTTGGTGGATGAATTTGGGAGAATGTATACAAGAAGGAAATTAAAAGTGAATTAGAAAAGGGCAATGAGAGATGACTATCAGTCTGAAGGGAGGTGAACATGTCAGCAAACAGTTCTATGAAAGATTTGGTGAATCACAGAATAGATGAGGGGGGAAAAGGTGGGTGGTGTGTTGAAGTTTCAGTGGAAGAAAAAAAAAAAAAAAGGAATGCACCAGAGTACTGTTGTACTAATATCTTTATATGGGTGTGAGACATGGGTTTTGAATGCTGCAGTGAGAAGGAGGCCAGAGATAGTGAAGATGTCATGTTTAAGAGTTATGTGTGGTGTAAAAATCATGCAGAGAATTCGAAGTGCAGAAATTAAAAGGCAATGTGGAGGCCACCAGAGGTATAATTAAAAGAGCCACAGTGAGGTTGAAGTGGTTTAGGCATGTCAAGAGGCTAGAGAGGAATAACATGATGATGAAGGTGTATAAATCTGGGTGGAAGAAGTAGGGGATAGGGGTTATCCCAGAAACAGATAAAGGGAGGGGGCAAAAAAACAAAAAAAAAGGCCTTGAGATTTAGGAGCTTAAGTGTCCAGCTTCCTACTGTGAGCATATAAGATAGGTGTCAGTAGAGAAAAGTGGTTTTTAATGGATGTGCCATTGGAATGTGAGCAAGGTAACTCTTGCAAAAGAATTCAAGGGAGTGATTAGCTGGACTTTAGTCCTGGAAGTGGAAAGGGCATTGACTGTACTCTAAAGGAGAGGTGGAGATGTTAGAGAGAGGGTAATTGATTCAGCACACTAATGTCAGCAAACGGTGCCCCGTGGCCTGGTGGCAAAAGCTCTTGTTTCACACGGTGAGGGTCTGGGTTCGATTCCCAGCAAAGGAGTGGAAACACTGGATGTGTTTCCTTACACCAGTTGTCTATGTTCACCCATCAGTAAAATGGGTACCTGGGTGTTAGTTGACTGGTGTGGGTCACATCCTGGAACAAAACTGACCTAATTTGCCAGAAATGCTCTACATAACAAGTGGCTTTCCATACATGTCAGTGATGTCAGCCAGGCCTGTATACCTTGTACAATTAGTAAATAAAGATATTATTATTTTTTTTTTTCAACAAGTCAGCCGTCTCCCACCGAGGCAGGGTGACCCAAAAAGAATGTCCCCAAAAAGAAAATACTTTCATCATCATTCAACATTTTCACCTCATTCACTGTTTTTGCAGAGGTGCCCTGAATACAACAGTTTAGAAGTATATACGTATAAAGAATACACAATATATCCCTCCAAACTGCCAATATCCCAAGCCCCTCCTTTAGAGTGCAGGCACTGTACTTCCCATTTCCAGGACTCAAGTCCAGTTATATAAAATAACCGGTTTCCCTGAATCCCTTCACTAAATATTACCCTGCTCACACTCCAACAGATCGTCAGGTCCCAAATACCATTTGTCTCCATTCACTCCTATCTAACACGCTCACGCACGCTTGCTGGAAGTCCAAACCCCTCGCCCACAACACCTCCTTTACCCCCTCCCTCCAACCTTCTCGAGGACAACCCCTACCCCACCTTCCTTCCCCTACAGATTTATATGCTCTCCATGTCATTCTACTTTGATCCATTCTCTCTAAATGACCAAACCACCTCAACAAACCCTCTTCATCCCTCTGACTAACACTTTTATTAACTCCACACCTTCTCCTAATTTCCACACTCCGAATTTTCTGCATAATATTTACACCACACATTGCCCTTAGACAGGACATCTCCACTGCCTCCAACTGCCTCCTCGCTGCAGCATTTACAACCCAAGCTTCACACCCATGTAAGAGTGTTGGTACTACTATACTTTCATACATTCCCTTCTTTGCCTCCATAGATAACGTTTTTTGTCTCCACATACACCTCAATGCACCACTCACCTTTTTTCCTTCATCAATTCTATGATTAACCTCATCCTTCATAAATCCATCTGCTGGCACATCAACTCCCAAATAACTAAAAACATTCACTTCTTCCATACTCCTCCTTCCCAATTTGATATCCAATTTTTCTTTATCTAAATCATTTGATACCCTCATCACCTTACTCTTTTCTATGTTCACTTTCAACTTTCTACCTTTACACACACTCCCAAATTCGTCCACTAACCTTTGCAGTTTTTCTTTAGAATCTCCCATAAGCATAGCATCATCAGCAAAAAGTAACTTTGTCACTTCCCATTTTGTATTTAATTCCCCATAATTTAATCCCACCCCTCTCCCGAACACCCTAGCATTTACTTCTCTTACAACCCCATCTACAAATATATTAAACAACCATGGTGACATTACACATCCCTGTCTAAGACCTACTTTTACCAGGAAGTAGTCTCCCTCTCTTACACACACCCTAACCTGAGCCTCACTATCTTCATAAAAACTCTTTACAGCATTTAGTAACTTACCACCTATTCCATATATACATGCAACATCTGCCACACTGCTTCCCTATCCACTCTATCATATGCCTTTTCTAAATCCATAAATGCAATAAAAACTTCCCTACCTTTATCTAAATACTGCTCACATATATGCTTCAATGTAAACACTTGATCTACACATCCCCTACCCACTCTAAAACCTCCTTGCTCATCTGCAATCCTACATTCTGTCTTACCTCTAATTCTTTCAATAATAACCCTACCGTACACTTTTCCTGGTATACTCAGTAAACTTATTCTTATTATTATTATTATTATTATTATTATTATTATTATTATTATTATTATTATTATTATAAAAAAAAACAGTGATTGACTGAATGAGGGCAAATGTGCTTTTTGCTTTGTGTTCCCTACCTTGGTGGGAGATGACTGTTGAAGTTATAAAAGAAGTCCTCCTACCTTGATGGGAGATGACTGTTGAAGTTATAAAAGAAGTCCTCCTACCTTGATGGGAGATGACTGTTGAAGTTATAAAAGAAGTCCTCCTACCTTGGTGGGAGATGACTGTTGAAGTTATAAAAGAAGTCCTCCTACCTTGGTGGGAGATGACTGTTGAAGTTATAAAAGAAGTCCTCCTACCTTGGTGGGAGATGACTGTTGAAGTTATAAAAGAAGTCCTCCTACCTTGGTGGGAGATGACTGTTGAAGTTATAAAAGAAGTCCTCCTACCTTGGTGGGAGATGACTGTTGAAGTTATAAAAGAAGTCCTCCTACCTTGGTGGGAGATGACTGTTGAAGTTATAAAAGAAGTCCTCCTACCTTGGTGGGAGATGACTGTTGAAGTTATAAAAGAAGTCCTCCTACCTTGGTGGGAGATGACTGTTGAAGTTATAAAAGAAGTCCTCCTACCTTGGTGGGAGATGACTGTTGAAGTTATAAAAGAAGTCCTCCTACCTTGGTGGGAGATGACTGTTGAAGTTATAAAAGAAGTCCTCCTACCTTGGTGGGAGATGACTGTTGAAGTTATAAAAGAAGTCCTCCTACCTTGATGGGAGATGGCCATTGAGGTAAAACAAAATATATATATAAAAATTAATAAAGATCTGTGTCTGTCACACAAAGTAAATAAAAATATGAGGCAACTAACCCAAGCTGAGTAGTGGAGTCAACCTTAACTCCGTGTTGTAATAAGAAGCGCACCATATTCATCTGGCCAAAATGACAGGCAACATGAAGTGGTGTGTAGCCAGCTTTTGTTGATGGATCAATCTTTAAAAAAGCAAAAATTCTCTTTAAGAAATGGATTTGTAATGAATGCAACTACATGTTACTGACACTACAGTATTTTATTAATAAAAATGTGTTAAGAACACAAGATACCCTATTTACCAAGTAGTATTCCACTACAACTGATAAGAAGTAGGACCCCATAAAAAGATTTAAACATAACTAGCAATAAAACTGACACTCAAGGGTACCAAGCCAACAATTTGGACCCAGCAGTATGAATAATATACTCATTGAATATACTAATCAAAATCAATGTTTTCCATATTAAAATTAATATCAAATTTCCTTAACTGCCACACGCACACAAATAAGCTCTTGGCAGTACAGCATACCATTTTCTCTCCACATGAAAGCTTATCAAACTGTCAATGATTCATTCCTACTAAGATTTTTAATTATAAAAATTTAAAAAAAAAAAAAAATAAGTGGGTCACACTTACCACTCTGATCTTATCTACATTCTCGCTAATTATAGTAAACTTCATCAATGACACAGTTTACTAGACTGGTTATAGAACTATCAATAAAATAAAGTCAGTATTAATGATACAGAAAACACACCTACTCACTCCTGACAAAACACCCAATTTTGCTTAAGCACATGATAAATAAAAACTTTAACCTCACCTGGGCACCGTGCTTGACTAAAATGGCAGCAACATTGACACGATCCTCCTGCGCACACAAATGTAGTGGCGTCAAACCATTTTTAGCACAAGCGCCTGGTGCAGCATTGTGTTCAATCAGCAGTGTTGCCATGTCTGTATGTCCCTCCTGAAAATTTTAAAATGTTATATTAATATTCTGAAATTAATAACTAATTACAAGAATTAACCTCTTAAAAATTTAATATCTTATTATATATTATAATCATAACTAAGCGATAACCCACCAGCGCATGAAATTACCGCCTCCCTTCCTTCATCAAAATATTCCCTCACAGAAGAGGTACAAAGGAAACAAAGGGCCATACAGGATATTGCAAAAAAACCCAAAATATTCCTATTCCTACACAAAATCCAAGCTAAGAACTGCCTGTAGAATTGGACCACTACTGAGAGATTCATATACTGACAATGAACAAGAAATTAGTGAAATCCTAAAAGAACAGTATGAGTCGGTGTTCAGAAACCCACTACATGACAGCAAGGTAGAAAATGCAGAAATATTTTTCACTCCAGAAGAAGGCTGCACAGACCAACTAACTGACATTAGTACAAATCCCATGGTTTTCGAAAAAGAAATGGAAAACATGCCCACTCACTCAGCACCTGGACCAGATTCACGGAAAGCTCTATTTATAAAGAAGTGCAAAGTACCACTAGCACGACCCCTCAGTATTCTTTGGAGAAAGAGCTTAGATCTATGTGAAATACCAGAGGCCTTAAAGAGTGCAGATATAGCTCCTTTGCATAAGGGAGGTAGTAGAGCACTAGCTAAAAATTACAGACCAGTAGCCCTAACCTCTCACATCATAAAAATTTTTGAAAGAGTGATAAGACTGCAGATTACAAATTTCATGGACCATAACCCGAACCAGCATGGTTTTAGAGCAGGACGATCATGCCTGTCACAGCTGCTGAGCCATTATGACAGAATTACGGAGGCATTGGAAGACGACCAAAATACAGATGTGATTTACACAGATTCTGTAAAGGCGTTTGCCAAATGCGATCATGGAGTGATAGTGCACAAAATGAAGGGCAAGGGCATTACGGGGAAGGTAGGCAGATGGATTTTCGGGTTCCTAACACACAGAACACAGATGGTAGTAGTGAACAGGACAAGATCCAGCATCAGCGAGGTCAAAAGCTCAGTGCCCCAAGGCACTGTCCTGGCACCTCTGCTGTTTCTCATCCTCATAGCAGACACAGACAAATTACCCGGCACACTTCTGTATCATCATTTGTAGATGACACTAATATAAGCATGAAAGTCACCACGGTAGAGGACACTGAAAAAGTACAGGAAGACATAAACAGGGTTTTCCAGTGGGCAGTGGAAAACAACATGACGTTCAATGGTGATACGTTCCAGCTGCTTAGGTATGGAAAGAATGAAGAACTCAAATGGAACACTATATACAAAACTCAAGAGGGTCACCAAATAGAACATAAGGACACGTAAAAGACCTGGGAATAATTATGTCAGCGGACCTTTCTTTTAAAGACCATAACACGGCAAAGATCACGACAGCCAGGAAGATGACGGGGTGGGTACTGAGAACTTTAAAAACAAGGGAAATAATGCTGATGGTGACACTCTTCAAATTGCTAGTGCTCCCTCACTTAGAATATTGCTCAGTGCTGACGACCCCGTTCAAAGCAGGAGATCATTTACAGCTCACACTGAACCTGTAAAGCACCTAAACTACTGGGAATGCCTGCAAGTCTTGAATATGTATTCATTGGAGCGGAGGAGAGAGAGATATATAATAATATATACCTGGTAGTATAGTTTGGAGGGATATATTGTTTATTTTTATACATATATACTTCTACACAAATAACCCGCACATAAAAGAGAGAATAACAAAAAGGCACAATACCGTGACTGGAACGATACACAAATAACCCGCACATAAAAGAGAGAAGCTTACGACGACGTTCCTGGTGTCTACTCTATTTCTTGCTCCTCCTGTCCTCTTCAATACTTCAGAGAAACTGGTCGATCTCTTTCTGACAGACTTAGGGAGCACAAAAATAGTGTTAGGCTTGCCGACACTAACAATGCTCTTTTCTGTCACATCAGAGATCATAGCCATCCTATTGACTGGTCTTCTGCTAAAACTGTCTTCCCTACTTCCAACTCGAACAGTCGCCGTCTAGTTGAATCCTCTCTAATACACAACTTTCCTTGTATGAACCTTAGCCCTGGCTTTGTCTCTGTAGATGCCTTCCTCTCCCACTACATTGTAAAATGCTCCAAACTTCAGAACACCCGTGACTTAACCTGAATCCTCATTTTTCTTTCTTTTTCTTCTTCCTCTTCCCCTTTCCTCTTTCCTTTTCTCCTCTGGGTTGTCTTTCTCTCTCCTGTCTCGTGTTTCTGTTCCTTCTTCATTTATTTTATTTCACCACTTCCCCTTTCACGCACCTCTGTGCGCTTGCTCTCCCTCTGTGGGCATCTAGCTCTCTTGCAGTGCTCCCCTTCCTTTGTTTTTGACTGGCTCGTCATCCTTATTTCCCACTTCTACCACTACCACTACTACTACCTCTTCTTCTTCTACTACTACTACAACTACTGATGAAATTAAGACACATGTGCGGCGTCT